GTTCCTTTATTTTTCTCTCACTCGTTCTCCATCATTAAGCCTTTAAATATGTTTGACTTCTAGCTCCCTTCGTAATATAGGTACTACCCTCGGTTTTATTTCAGCCTGTGTTGGCCCGAGGGAGCAACTTACCTAGAACGCCCAGTCTACGTTTTTTCTTTCATGTTTTCTTTTATTTATGATTAGCCATTAGTAGGATACAACGTTTTTTGAACTCGGTTTGAAAGGTTTGTAAGAAAACTTGATAATTCAATATTTTTATTGTCACATAATATTTACATACCGAGTGTTTCTCAAAAGTACCCCTATAACTTTTTATATTTTCAGATTTTTTTGATTTTTTTTCAGAGAAACGAAGATTTGGTATATGACATAAATTAGGATTGATTGACGTATTCAATTATTGTTTTCGGTCACTTCCTGTTTCGCCGGAAATTTCTTCCTGTTTCACAACTTTTGATTTTTAAATGATACCTTATATATTTTCTACTACATTTGATAGAAAATGACCATTCTGAATAGAACGACATATCATATAATATAATAAATAATATACACAGTGGCGCACCTCATTCGCCTCGATTAATTATACGAAAACGGAAAGATGCAGAAACAAAATATTTTATGGGGATATGTAGGAAGGCCATGTGCATAATTGAAAATTATTTTGAAATGTACAGGGTATGTCAGAACTAAGATAAACACCAAAGTTGTATTTTTTCTTATGGTACACCCGGTATTTTATTTCATATTTGGATCCTTGGACACAAAATAAGGCATTTGTTATATGAGTTAAATATGTTTTCAAGCTTTGGTTTTTGAGATATTTAAATATGCATGCTATAATAAAAAAATTGTCAACATTCTGTACAGGGTGGGTGAAATTCGACGCTTTTAAATGAAAACACCCTTTTCTATAGGAGATAGACGAAAACTAATATCGGTGTCTGGAGCTCAATTTTCATCAAAAACATGATGGTGAAAACCGCACATCAATATCTGTTACCGTTTCGGCGTTACGGGGTGTTTCTCAAAAATGTGCATTTTTAACAAATCGCTGTAACTTTTTTGCTATGGAAAATTTTGTATTTCTATGAAAACATTTCCAAAGCATCTTTTTACGTAGAATTTAATTGGTTAAGTATAATTTTTTTAAAATTAATAATTTAAGAGTTATCAACAGAAAAATTGATTTTTTATATGGGACACCCTGTATATTTTTAATTTATTGAAAAGAATTTAAAATTACCTTTCCAAAAATATAACACACTTGATATTTTGCTCGATTCCTCTTCGAGATATAGAGTATATAAAAATTCGCCCGCTTTAAATAAGTAGGCTTTGAACGGCACCGGCTGTAATGCAAAAAAATTCTAGCTGTGAGCATCAATTAAAACGAAAATAATATTTGCTATGAGAGATGCACAATTTTATAACAATTTAAAATATATTTAACCAACATCAACACATTTAAACTATATCTCATAACAATAAAAATAAAGGTGTTCTACAGGTGTTCGACATATCGACCGTCTTCTGTTATGGACAGACGGGGCAGTTTTTGAACATTTCTTGCGGAATTCATTAACTCAGTAGGGGTGAAAGATACCCTCTTATAACTGCTAAATATTTTTAATTCTTGTCTAGATTATACGGAAGAATAAGGAACCTTTATTCTTCCGCAAATATATCCATAGGATTAGATCCATGGGCACTAAGTCAGGCGGCCTCGACGGCCAACGGCTGCGATCTTGGTTAGCTATCCAATTATTCTTGAAAGTGGCTGCAAAAATTTGCTGATAACTTCAGCGTTCAGAGGCGGTGCGTCGTTTTGCTGGAAAAATATGTTTTCGAATTCCATTAAGAGCATATCATCAATAAGTGGTCCAAAGCCTACTAGTTAAAAGTGGCGAACTTATAAAAATTCAGTATTTCGAAGGGGATTATAACAAAATATCAAGTGTACTATATTTTTGGAAAGGTAATTTTAAGTTCTTTTCAGTTAATTAAAAATATAGAAGGTGTCACAAATAAAAAATCATTTTTTCTGTTGATAACTGTTAAATTATTAATTTAAAAAAAAATACTTAAACCATTATATTCTACGTAAAAAGGTGCTTTGGAAATGTTTTCATAGAAATACAAAATTTTCCACAGCAAAAAAGTTACAGTGATTTGTTAAAAATGCACATTTTTGAAAAACACCCCGTAACTCCGAAACGGTAATAGATATTGATGTGCGGTTTTCACCATCATGTTTTTCATAAAAATTGAGCTCCAGACACCGATATTAGTTTTCGGCTATCTCCTATAGAAAAGGGTGTTTCTATTTAAAAGCGTCGAATTTTACCCACCCTGTACATTGCTTTTCAGAATTAATTCATGTGCTGACTTTTATGCCAGAGAAATAAACTTTACTGAAAATTTTGATTCCTTCGTTTAATGTGTACAGGGGTAACAAAAATTGCTGGTCTATTTTAAATATTTATTTTACATAAAAACTTTGTTATTTCAAATACAACACCCTGTATTCTTTAAAATAAATCGAAGCAATTCAAATGGTCTTTCAACTATATTAGGGAGTTTTCTATATCGAAAGGCTATTTTCAAAATCGCAGTTAGTTTATAAACTTTATTTAAATGTATTGCAGTGTGTTTACTTTTATTTAATTTATCTACAATAGTTTAATAAATAATATTTATTTTTTTTCTATCAAGAAAAACAAAGAAATAGTTCTTTGGTTTATTTTACGATGACTTGTGGATATATGGATTTTCTATAAAAGAGCCAATTATGGCAAATTCATTTTCTTCATCCCACGACAGGTTTTTGCCTAATCGGTTTTTTATAAACCACACTACCAGCTCTGAACAATAGGACAAGTAGTTTTTCAAAGGAAAGCTTATCAGGAAGATTCCTATTTGGATATCTTTGGCCAAGAAACAATTTTCCTCACAGGATAAAATCACTATTGTGCAGGGGTGGATAGGCCATATGGGAAAACGGGAAAATTCCCGGTGGGCCGGTGGGAAGATGGGCTGGTGGGCCGGTCCCGATCAGAGCTCAAAAAAAGATTGATTTAGCAAAAATTAAATGGTTAATCTTCTAACTAAAGTTACGTAAGATTTTTTAGTGACTGCCTAATTAACTAATCAATTAGATCAATATAATAGTCAGTTGCTTTTAAACATAAACACTAATTTGTAAAAAAACTATTTTTAGATACTGCTTCATTTTTTTTGATATAATATAATGAATACTTACTTATTAAACTATTGTAGGTAAATTTAAGTAAGCTGTTATAAATCTAAATAATAATGTCCATAAACGAATGTCAATTTTGATAATAGCTACTAAAAAGTCACTAGAAGATTGCCATTTTATTGAAAAATCGCTTTTTATTCAAAATCTGAGCTAGATAGGTATAGAAAACCCCTTTGAATAAGAAGACTAAGGAAGGAGCATATCAAAAATCTTAGGTACACCGCGATGGGCCTCAAATATGGCCGACTTAAATTCCGGTTTATCAGTGTCGTTCTAATTTTATTTAAAAAATGTAAAACTATGATGTAGGGTAGACGTGGGGTAGACTCAATAATTTGTTGTTTTATTTTACATTGTGAATAAATGTTGGTAGTTATTAAAATTGTTATAAAAATATATGATTCTAATAAAAATAGATAAGTTATAATAAGTATTTATTAACACAAACATCCGATACGCTACTGAAGCAGGTAAGTCAAATTAACGTATCAAAATTCTTTGACAACTGATCTTTGACAAGTAGTAAATAAAAGCTAAAATGCAAGAACATATATAATTTAGTTAATTTAAGTGAATTTCATAAATGATCGGTTTACTACACGTATGTATATTATATAGTCACTTACTAGCGAAAAGTTGTTCCATTATTTCACTCAATTTTTGCCAAGATTTACCGCACGCTACACAACCAACTATTTTAGAATCTTATTCGATAAATCGCGATAATGTCACTGTTAATTTAAGTTCTGCCACAATTTCCATCTGGATTTACTACCTTTATACAACTATCAGTAGTAGAATAAATAATAAATAACATAAAATAAGCTCCGTAAAGACTGACAAATCCACAAAATTTCAAATCAAATTCAAATGTGTCAAATGAATCGTCAAATAGAACTGTCAAGGATCCCCACCCTAGAGAGCTTTTTCCGCCCACCATGCATGAATACATGGATAGCATTATGCTCCTTCCTTAGTCTTCTTATTTAAAGAGAAAACCCTAATGTAGTTTCAAAGAGCATTCAAATCTGCTTCGATTTATTTAAAAAAATACATGGTGTTGCGCTTGAAATAACAAAGTTTTTATATAAGATAAATATTTAAAATAGATCAGCAATTTTTGGTACCCCTCTGCCTTTAAACTCAGCACAAGAATTAATTCCGAAAAGTAATATACAGGGTGTTGATAATATATTCAATTATAGCATGCATTTTTAAATATCTCAAAAACCAAAGATTTTAAACATAAAATATATAACTTTTTTGAGCCCAAGAATCCACAAATTAAATAAAATGCCGGATGTTCCATAAGAAAAAATATAACTTTGTTATGGATCTTAGTTCTGAAACACCCTGTATATTTTAAAATAATTTTCAATTGTGCACACTGCTTCTCCACATACACCCATAAAATATTTTGTTTCTACATCTTTCCGTTCCGTATAATGAACCGAGGCGAATGAGGTGCGCCACCCTGTATACAGCCCTAGATAAATCAAAATTTTCACCCTTTTCAAACGATATCTTTAATATATTTAATTATACTATATCTATATACCAAACCAATGCTTTTTTTAGTGCCGTTCTACCAAGGGAAAAGGGAAAAACAAACAAAAGAAAAGTGCATTAGAAAAAGTATATTTTATATACATAAAATGTGAAAGTACACTAAACCACTCGTATACAAAAGAAGAAAAGATATGTACAGAAAGTCGTAGAGCATTCTCCGACTTACCGGCTGATTTGATCTTTTTCTTAAACTCTGCGGCATCGTCTATTTCTGGAGCTATAACTTCCACGCTGTTAAAGACTTCTAATTTATCTAGAATTTCGCCTTCCTTGTTCTGTCTTGATCGACCAACTCTGTTATCGAAAGATTCTGTTACGTTTTGACAGTCTATCTGTAATTAAAAAGGTTTATTGTAAATTTATTTTTACTAGATAAAATGGTAATCATTCAAAATCTCATTCCTAAATAATATTTTATGAATAAATTCTAACAGTTTCAACACAATGACTCAGCAAGTAGTTTAACGTAACATTTACTTTATAGGTAATAGATTGGAAAGTGCCCATAAGGACAATGTAAACACTATTTGGCGCTATTCTTGCAACGGTCGCGACCCAAAGCTTTTGAAAATTTCGGAGCGGTTCGGCCTGGTTCGGCTTTTTCCGGAATTATATCGCCAAATATTATTTATTCAAATTTATTATTATTTTCTTTTAATTTTATAAATAAAATACAGTGTGTTGCATACAATAAAGTTTTTAATGCCATTTTTTCACAATTATCACGGGTTTAAGTAAATAAAATTTAAATTAAACTCACAAGATAGCTATATATAATTACTTTTTTGTGTTTTTACTCCTGGCTTTAGGTCGTTGGGGTTGCAAAGATGTTTCTAGATTTTGTTCATTATTTTATTTTATGACGACGTTTCGACAGTATATGTGTTTTTCAAGCCTCTTTAAGTACATAAAAACAGTCAGTTAAAATCATTAAGATAAAATGTCAAAATAAAAGGTCTTACCTTGAACGTAGATTCCTACAGAGTTAAAAATTGTTAAAACTGGACAAAACACAATAACACATATTAACTATTATTTTAATTGTTTTTGGACATCACACTTTAGTATAGAGCACGTATGTATTTCCTAGCAGACCGTTCTGTATAAAACACATTTATCATTTCAATACCCAATGTCTACTGTTTATAGTGCGTTTAGAGAATGGACAGATATATTTTGCTTAGATTTTTTAGGTCTTTTTTATCATTTACCGCGTTTTTGTTTTTTTTTTGTATCTCCACCATTTCATAAAATTCTCTCTTTGTTTGGTGATTTTCTGTTTTTAAAATTTTAGTTTTATTAAAATCGAATGTATGATTTTCTGTTGACACATGATTTGTGAGGGCGGTTACATTTTTTTTATCATACTTGTGCCCTTTCAGTCTATTTTCTAACCATTGAGAAGTTTGTCCTATGTAAACTTGGGCGCAGTTCGAACATGGAATTTCATATATAACATTGCTTCGTTTGTTTAACGGTGTTACAGATTTTAGTTTAGAGAAATTATTAGCTAACAAGTTATGTGCTTTATGACAAATCGTTATATTATACTTTTTGTGTAACCCTTGTAATTGTTGAGACAACCCATTTACGAAGGGGAGCGCAATATATCGTGTATCTTTTTTATTCTTTTTATTTTCTATTAGATTTGGATTGTTTTTTGTGTTTAAGAATTTTTGGAGTCTATCTTTAAATATTTTGTTTATTAGTTTTTGTGGATGGTTGTTTTCTTTTAATGCATATTTTGCTTTTTTTATTGCAGCATCTCTATATTCTGGGTCGGATAGACGAATTGATCTGTCCGCCAAGCCAATTATAACCGATCTTTTTTGGTTAGCTGGATGGTTAGATAAAAACTTTTTTTAACTCTGTAGGAATCTACGTTCAAGCTCAAGACCTTTTATTTTGACATTTTATCTTATTGATTTTAACTGACTGTTTTTTATGTACTTAAAGATGCTTGAAAAAGACATATACTCTCGAAACGTCGTCATAAAATAAAATAATGAACAAAATCTAGAAACATCTTTACAACCCCAACGACCTAAAGCCAAGAGTAAAAACATAAAATATATGGTATACACGTCAAAGAAACGAAACAAAAAAAATATTAAATTACTTTGAAAATGGACGCTTTAAACAATTTTAAGAATTTTTTCAATAAAAGCGGTGTAGATTTTGAAAGATTGTATAATTTTTGAAGATTCTGACTTTGACAAGAGATATGGACAAGAGAAAATTATTTCTGTATTTGTTTGCGGTTGTTCTTAGCAACCGCTATAGCAGCGCCAGATCGCCTTCAACGGTCGCGACCCAAAACAATTTCGTAACCCAAAATTTTGACGGGCATTCCAATCTAATAGGTAATTAGAATACTGACATCTATTACTGACATGTATTTCATAAAAGGGGGTGGAAAATATAAATAAAAGTGTATTTTTTAATAGCATCGAAACAAGCTATGGGTCTATGGTATAGTTTGGATATAGATAATATTTTACTTCGCCATTTTGTAGTCCTCGTCTGATCTATAGGTTACAATCTCAAATCAAAAAATATGTATTTCCTAGAGCTATACATAACAATCAACAGATATAATCACGTACTATGCATTCCTATGGTGTATTTCTTCATGCAGAATCTAAAAGCTAACCATACAATGACAGATGTGTTGTCGAAAATGCAAGAATAAGTATGCCTAGCGCTGGGTCCATTTATTTCAAGCCGTCAAAAGCTAGAGGAACCTTACTTGACTTACTTTAACTCAAATAATTTTGAAACAAAGCCGAAATAATAACATATATCTACTTTTCTAAATATGAAATCGACAAAAATTTAAACAAAGCCAATTTAAATGAATTAGAGTCGAATAATAAGAGAATGATTCTCTGAGAGTAATTTCTGATCTTGTAATACCTATCCTACAACTCTGAATATCAAACTGAAGTGTTGGGAAAATACACACTATACCATCAACACTCATCAATGCCATTCATAGGCCTAGAATCCTTCTGCGGCACTGTCTTCCTCACATTCAGTTACACAAATGTTCACAAAACAGTTGGTGGTTATTTGTGTACCTTTTTTTTTTCTTCTTTTCTTGAAGAAGGAGGAATCCCCAGAACACATTTTCTGTACATGCCTGGCAAATGTGCGGTTCTTTTTATTATATAGGCAATGCTAAGCCATTGAGAAAGAGCTATATGGATGGTCCAAATTCCAAGTTATTATACTTTTGAAAAGAATAGGACTGGATAATGTAATCTAGAAATCAGAAGAGGACTACAATAGATCCAAAAATTTAGCACTGGAACAGAGAAAATAAAGTATCTAATCTTATCTAAACTATCAAGCAACTCTATATATTATTTAAACTTATATGCAAATATACTAGTAGAACAGTAATTATATTTTGGTATAGTCAAGCCTTTCTGAAAATGCTTGAAACAATAAAATCTACGAATACTCCATTCATGACGATCCTGGGCTGTAAGAAACTACTAAATTTACGTCATAATTAAATCAAGTAACATTGATTTCAGGAAGCAGAATGGATCTCGATGACATAGCACACTCGGATATGACCGTCTATAACAAGATATTCGGTTTTAAGGGTAAATTTTTAAATTACAAAACTGAGCAACAATAGGCCCTTGTGACCAATCAATTAAAATTTAAAAAATATACTTATGTATTAGTCGATTTGTATATGTTTTTTTGCCTTTCCAGTTTTGGTCTTCCCTGATTTCTTCTGCCTATTGGTTGCCAATTGATTATTTTCTTGGGTCATCTTGTATTCTTCATTCGCTTTGCATGTCCGTACCAGATCAGCTGCTTTCTCTCTATATCCTGTGTATTGTGCCATCTATACCCATTTGTTGTTTTATAGTATTATTTCTTATTTATTATAATTTATTCCCGTTGATCTTCGAATGGCATCCATTTCTACGGCCTCTATCCTCTTTGTGTATTTCTCAGTTATTCTCTGTTTCTGCTCCATATAGGAGGCTGCTCTTTATCATGGTCTCATATACATACATATATTGAATTTTCTTCACTTTGTTATTGATTTTTTGTTATTTTTTTCGATAAACCTTTTCTCTACTTCTCTGCCATCAGTTCCATTGTTATAAAATGTAATTCCCAGGTATTCATACTCTTGACATTGAATAATTTCTTGGTTGTTGTCCAAGTTCAAATTTCCTTCTTGTGCGCCTATTGTTAACTGTCAAGCCCCATTCTCCGTATTCTTCAATGAGTTTTCTTAGCATATATTGCATATCATCTTTGTCATTGGCGACTATTAATAATTCTCTAATTTCATTGATCGTCTGCGAATTGAAGTGTGAACAAACATTCATTGTCAATCTCTATGCCCATACCACGGATCTTTCTTTTCAAATCTTTTAAAGCGACTGCAACGTATATTTTAAAGAGAGTAGGGAAGATGCAACAACCTTGACGAAGGCCTTTGTTGGTTATAAACGTTTCTGTAAGCTCTTTTCCTACCTTTGTTTTTGATTTTACGTCCTTATATAGTTCCTTAAGAGCTGTTATATATGTATCGTTAATGGTAGATTTTTCCAGGACTCTCCATAGTCTGGATATTGGTATAGTGTCGTATGATTTCCGTAAATCAACAAATGTTATACGTGTGTCCAAGTTTCTTGCCGATCTTTTTCTATAACTTGTTTTAAAAGAACACGTTACATGTTATCTGTACACGACCTTCCTGCTCTAAAATCATTATGTTCTTCTTCCTCCTTTTCTCTATAATCTTCTTCTATTAGATCACGTAAAATTCTACCATATAACTTGCTCTTAGAAGTATCTAATTCAATTCCTGACCACAGAAATTAAGTTATTCAGTAGAATAACTTAATTTCTGTGGTCAGGAATTGAAAAAATACCAAACATTATACTAAATGTCAATTGTTAATTCCTTATGTTGTACTAAATATATTGAAAAATGAATGCAATAAATTTACAAATAAAAGATATTTTATTTTTTAGCTAGCAGAAAAAAATTGATTATAAAATGGAAATGATGGGAAGGGAAAAATGTATTTACTTTACTGCATGCTTCTCTGCACATCTGCAACCTGCACTGCAAGTGCAGCCTGTCCCTGTCTGGAAATTTGAACGCGGCAAATCTAGCAATCGCTTCTTGATGCCTCATCGAACCGATGGGTCTGATAGGGCCATATTTGGGCAATGGAAGCAATAATTCATCAACAGGACAGCCTTGTTCATCCAGGAGTTTCTGGGAGGAATCTCCAAGTCCATCGTGGGCTATGCAATCCACAATCTTCCAGCCAATTCCGGCTAAAAATAAACACACACATTTAATTTAGTATTAAAAGAAGACTTTAGCTTGGATTCAGTAAAGTGGGGCCTTAAAGATAGTTTTTTATCGTTAAAAACAACAATTTCAAGCATTTTTAATTAATGTTATAATAAATACGCTAATAGTTAATTTATCTAAAGTACTAAAATCATACCTCATAGCTATGCGAAAAAATGTATATATTATATTATATTATACAGGGTGAGTTTCCTACGATGTTCTCTATGGGTATCTCGAAAACTACTAGAGATAGAGAGTCGGTTAAATGGGGAAAGAATTGCAGTTTTGTGGGGTCATAAATATGCGCCTTTCAGATTTTTGAAAAAGTTCATGGCTTACTAGATATTTGGAAAAAAACAAATTTCGGCTATTTTAGACAAAAAGTTTTCAGATAAAAGTTGTAGATAATCACATCCTTAATGAGACTGTGTCCTCCGTTTTCTTCTAAAGCCTGTCACTTTTGACATATGACACAAACATATGTTTTTTTAAATGGAAACCATAGTTGGCCATGCCTTCGTAAAAAGCGCCGTTTTTTAAGCTTTTCAGCGAGATGAGCTATAATATGTTTTCTTCGAAAAATTACTGAGTTATAGGCAATTCTTTTCATTTTTAAATAATTTCACTTAGTTAGCCATGGAAACAATCGTCTTTGCTCTTATAAATGTGAAGCTGCCACATCCAAACTTTGTAAATTAAAGTAAACAAAAATTGTAAATATGAATTTTTCAAATGAAGAAAAGCGTGTAAGATTATGGGTTCAACTTTTCTTGACCATACATTTTCGAGGATACGTTGACCGGTGAATGTTATGTTTTTTAGAGAACGATTTTCAAGACTTGTTAGAAAAGTTAAATTTAGTTATGGCGAATTCTCATTTCTCTTGACTAATTTCACTTAGATTGCATGGCATTCTTATTCTTTTGTGATTTATAACTTATAAAAAGTCAGAATATATTACTAAACGGTTCTTTAGAATTTACATTACACAAACTAAAACTTAAAAAAATAATATCGCTGCAGTCACTGCATACACTTTAAGTTATTTTAGAAAATGTTCAAAAAATCCGCCATTGTTTTGAGAGTTACATCTTTTTAAAACTGAATTATTACCTATTCTCACAAAAGGACCGGTTGACTTAATTAAACTTCTCTCGTACCGCCACTTCGAGTGCCTCTCTTAATTCATAAATTCTTGTGTAAACCTTATTTTTAACCATACCGCATAAAAAAAATCTAAAATGGATAGGTCATGTGATCGAGGAGGCCCATGCAATTAGTCCACCTCTTCCTATCCCTGAGTTTGTATTATTATGATATCAATAATTTTAAACATTTCTTTCATTATGCGGGGGGGGGGGGCATAATGAAAGTCATTTTGGAAACACTCTATTGATGCGCGAGTATCTACACGCTTTTCTTCATTTGAGAAATTCATATTTACAATTTTTGTTTATTTTGATTTACAAAGTTTGAATGTGACAGCTTCACATTGTGAAATTGTTTAAAAATGATAAGAATTGGCTATAACTCAGTAATTTTTCGAAGAAAACATATTATAGCTTATATCGCTAAAAAGCTTAAAAAATGCCGCTTTTTATGAAGTCATAGCCAACTATGGTTTCCATTTAAAAAAACATATGTTTGTGTGATATGTCAAAAATGACAGGCTTTAGAAAAAAACAGAGGACACGATCTCATTAAGGATGTGATTATCTACAACTTTTATCTGAAAACTTTTTGTTTAAAATAGCTTATAATAGAATTAGGGACAATTTTTAAAATAGCCGAAATTTGTTTTTTTTCAAAATATTTAGTAAGCCATGATTTTTTTCATAAATCTGAAAGGCGCATATTTATGACCCCACAAAACTGCAATTCTTTCCCCATTTAACAGACTCTCTATCTCCAGTAGTTTCCAAGATACCCATAGAGAACATCGTAGGAAATTCACCCTGTATATGAGCGTCAGAAGTTAGAATTTATAAGGGTTGGGTGAGACCAGTTATGACATATGCGATAAAGACTAGAGCAGAGAACACAACAACAAAACGGCTCCTAAGAACAACAGAAATGATACTAAGATACTAAGATCAATTACAGGATATACCCTATATAACCGGAAAAGAAGTGAGGATATAAGGAAAACATGTGAAGTACAGGATGTAGTAAGATGGGCTTTGGCATCCTGTCCTTCTGTTTCTTAACAGGGGAAGAGAGTGGAGAGACCATGTGGACAGGATGCCAGACGACCGGTTAGCGAAAATTGCTAAGGAGAAGAGACCCAACACTCCTCGACCGCCGAGACGACCACCTATAAGATGGTATGAAAGCTGGTTTTCATCATCCCAACTGTTCTTAGGGAACCATTGAAGAAAACACAGGGCTTGGTCCTGACGTACAAAGAAGAAGAAGAAGACTTATCCTAATTATTTTTGACATTGAATAAGGACGGCTTTTTAGCATCTTTTAATTCAAATTTTAAATCATATGAAGGGTCCAAGGGAAAAACATGATAAGCGCTCTTTTACTAATTTTACAGGAGAGCACTGGACGGCTGGTAGTTATCAGGTTCTTTCCGTGTATTCTATATTTTTACTCGGCATATAACATAGGATTTAACAACATATGGGCAACGGCTCAGCTACGTCGAAACCCCGGTTCCCATTAGAGCACCGAAGTTAAGCGACGTAAGACGATACTAGTGGATGTACGGGTGACCGGTTCGAAACTCTGTATCGTGCTGTTGTCCAAAGGCAAAAGTGTAAAATCTATTGACACACACTGCTCATTCACGCCGGTTCGAGGCTGGATGAGATCGGATATCTCGTGAGTAAGAGTCGATTTAGTCACTTGCCAAGTCGGTAGGCCATTGACCATGATATGGCCGAGGACTGCGGTTCGGATTCCGCGTAAACAAAGTAGACCCCGTCCAGGTTAGCCCTGGCAGCAAAAAGGAGACGTTAACTTCAAATCTTTACTTTACTTTTAACAACATACTGCCCTGCAGAGTTTATACATTTTGTATAAATAAATGAAAGATAATAAAAGATCTACTATAATATAGCCCTTATCAAGTTTTTGCCCTGGACCTTTCATATAGGATACCAATACACCTTATATTACTCTGTATATCTGTAAATTATAGGTCGACTATACATATATAAATAGGAAAGTATCTAAAAAAGGGTATTGTCTGTAATATTCTAGTTCCAGAGTAACGCGTAAGTTAGAGAAAATGATCTACCAGGTAATGTCGATTTAACTGTTAACAGAACAGCCTCTCCCACTTCGACTGTTGATGTGGAACGTTCGACTTTGCTTTCGGGAATGATCTCCATCCAAGCTCTAGCAGCTGACATGGCTTCTTTTAGTTCTTGTTCCAATTCTTCCTCATTTAAATCTTTGGACCATCCTTCATTCATCAAACGACCAACCCTAAAACATATTTAGTCAAAAGGAATTAAATAATATAATAACTGTAAAACTAATAAAACAACATCAAATAACTACATCTTTGAAATAGAATGTTTGGAATAGTTTACGTTTCAGCGTCCTTATTCTCAATGTGTAATCCTCCAATTTTAATGTAAAGTAAAATAAAACGAATATTTATAATATAATAAGATTGTATAACGCGTTTGTATGATTTTTAATATAATTTTATAACTCTATGTATTATACACTACTTTGTTTTACTTTTGTTTACTTTTGACACGTAAAATGAAGTGTATCTCATTTTGTCGTACAGAAACAGAATCTATGTCTTTTTTTTGTTGAATAAACCCCTTGAAAGACTGGTTTTTGCCATTTGCTTGACATCACGTTTATAGTTCATTATTTGCGAGTACATTTTAACTGTTATTATTATTTTAAACAAGCGCATAACAACAATTATAAAAATAAATAGTACAACGAACTTAACTTGTTAGAAGCTGAATAGAATAGAATAAAACATACGCTGAATTAGTAAAATTTGTCCAACAAGTCATGGAATATTTCAGACATAAAAATGACAAATAACGACCACTGTCATATATTCTATCGTTGAACAGACTTTACTTTCTTAAGCCCCATTCAGAACCTCGAAATTAGTGGAATAAATTATACTTTATACTTAAAAGTTTACGATCATTCTCATAACGTTTTTATAGTTTATAATTTTTAATGTTTCTAGATTCAATTGGCCTTGTCATTTCTGATCCATGTCAATTGTAAATCTTCAACAGCAATATAGAATTCCTACCTATGGTTAACATTTTTCTCTGATATCTCTCCCTTGAGAGCTTTAAACAGTGATGGACTTTTAACCAAAAATGCATCGTCTTTGACCTCGCATAATATTACTTTTTCTTGATCGGATATTTGTTTCAAATAGCGATCTTGCTGGAGAACTAGTCCTACAGTATAGTACATCCTAGGTTGGCCATTCTGATCAGACGCTGAGGACAGGCGAATTCCACAACCCGAAGTAGGCAGACTTATGGATATGGAATTTGACAGGGAACCTAAAAAATAAGATTATTATTATTACTATCTTATTTTGTATTTTATTCTTTGGTATCTTGCAAATTAATACAGTCATTATAAGATCATTCTTTTTCTATCCGTTAAGATTTTAAATTAAATGTAAAAATACACACCATAAAATTTAGTATAGAATTAGTATATTATACATAGAAAATTTATATATAATGCTTGTTCTTACTGAATACTTAGACATCTAGATTTAGCACATACAATAAATATGCTACTTTCATGAAACAGGCCCTTTTAATAAAATGATACCCTTTTAATTTTGGCGCCCAACGTGGGGCAGCACAAATTACAGTCGACCTCGGTTATAACGAACATGGAGGGACAGAAACAATTTTGCGTTATAACCGAGTGTTCATTATTTCCCATTTTTATTTAAATCTGTTATACAATAAAAAAAAGCACTTCAAGTTACTATATGAACATGTATTTGAAGAATACGTAATTGAATAAAAAAACTAATAAAACATTTTTTTACAATACTACGTGTTAATATGTAGTATTGTAAAAACATATAGAGGGAATTTTAATATTTAAAATTATGTAGGTACTTACCAAAATTTTTACATTCGTTTGCGAAATCTTTAGCAAACGCGACTCCTTTAAACGCCTGCGCCATGGTAACTGTGATGTTCATATTCTGCGAATCGCATATGGCCACGACATCTGTTATTTTGTTGTGTGAAACTTTCATGGGAAATCTCAGGCTTGGTGGAAATGCTGACAACGTCGCCTGGACGAAGAACTGAATGAAATAAGCCAGGAAAAGTGGATGTGGAGTGGCCATTTTCGATGCATCTGGATCTAAAATAAGAAAGATTTCTATAAAAACGTTTTACTGTTATTTTCAACAATAGTTTTAACACGCAATAATTAAAAAAACAGACCATATGTCGACATATAAAAGATTTCTTCATCTGTCAAAATTTACATTTTAACAATAAAGTGCCTGTTATATACAGGGTGTCCCAGGCTGAACGTGCATTAGAAGTTTCTAGAAAACTACAATATCTAGATCAGAGATTTTTTGTACATCACTGTTTAGCAACGTGATCTATCAATTAAAAATATTTTCAATATTGTGGCACTTCTGGAAATACCGGAAGTTGACGGCAACTTTCTTATTTTAAACGGGTGCCGCCGGTTTTTATTACATAATACAACACTTTATACCTAACTTTAACCGTTTTTGAGAAAAAAAATATTAAAAATTTTTGGACGAAAAAAACTTGCTGTCAAAAAAAAATTGTATAGCCTAAAGTCAAATTTAGTAATTACTACAGCCGCTGTTACATAAAGAGGAGACATGTGACTATTCCAAAAAAAATTAATCGAATATCATATAATAATGGCGGTAGCTGTCATGGAATTCAGCGATTAAAAAAATTATCATAAATTATTTTTTTCAAATAGAAATCTCTTTTTTTTCGCTAGTTGTTCTTAATTTATTGAAGATTTAGTTTTAAAACGTATATTTTTCTTGATTTTATTTAGCTAGACATTACTATATACTACTAATGCTATTACTCGCTGACGAGTATTTGACACGCATCAGAAGATCGTCACGCAAGGCGTTTTCTTTCATGAGCTTTTCTGTGTCCATGTCTTTGATATTAATTGTCAAATAATCAGACAATTTATTTCCATCTGTCAGAAAACGAATTATTTGAATCTGTTCTATACTATAAATACTGCCTGCCTAAAAGTTTAAAAAGTGTATTTATAAAAATATATCTCGTATTTTGGCTATATATCTAATAGTTGCTATTATTAATAATATACCGTATGATCGAAAAAAAAATAGCGCAAAGGTGGCTTGGAAATGATGATCGATGGCATACTTTTTTCTGAACAAAGTGTCACAATATGACATGGCCAGATCTATTGCTTTACATCACTTGACGTTTAAAGTCATAGGCTACTGGTTAAAATCATGAAAAATGTACGTTTTAAAACTAAATCTTAAATGACTTAAAAACGATTTATTTTGGGTATAGGAAGCTGTATAATAAAAAAGTAACGAAATGGAAAACCTTTACACTAGTGAAATAAAAAAATGGATTTACATTTGAAAAAAAATATTTGTGATAATTTCTGTATCGCCCAATTCCATGACAGCTGCGGCCATTATTATATTGGACATTTAAACAATTTAATATTTGAAATAGATAAGCACATATCTTCTCTTTATGTCCCAGTGACTGTTGTAATCACTAAATTTGAGGTTATAAAACTTTTTTTGACAGGCAGTTTTTTCCTCCAAAAAAAATTAAATATTTTTTTTTCTCAAAAACGGTTAATGTGAGGTATTTTTTTAGAATGAGAATTTAGAATGAGTGGGAGGGGGGTTAATCACTTCGACCTTACAGATCCATTGTGTCCCCCTTTCTTGAATCATAACTCATCATACAGTCCCAGGGCTTTGACAAAAGCCAGTATCTGGGACGGTTTTATAGAGGGTAGTTCTCCATCTCCAATATCAGTCGTACCAAAATTCATGGCACGAATGGTTGTCGTCTCGGCGCACTCAGTGATGAGGTGTACTGGTGTTTCACCATCTTCCCCACAGAATCTGCATTCGCCGTTTCTTCTTAGTTTCAATCTACTGAGGTGTTCATTGAGGAGACAGTGTCCTGTTAAAAACCCCGTGACAATCCGAAGATTGTTCTTACTCAGACCCAGGAAGATCTGTGATTTTTCTTGATCATAAGCCCTCAGAAACTTCTTCGAGTGTCTTAGACCATTGCAAGATTTCCATTCCAGGTAGCGGATGGAATCTTCCAAGTCCTTGAGTTCCGCCTTGAGTTGGTTACCACTTGGAAAGCAGAACGGTTCTGGTCCAGTTAGTGGAGTGTTCGCTCCTTTCCTAGCTAGATTATTTGCTTTTTCATTGCCTTCTATCCCTTGGTGAGCAGGCACCCAGTGTAGGAGGACTTTGTTTTCTTTGCCTAATTTATTCAGCTTCTCTATGCATTCTTTGACCAATTTCAAATCGATTGATACTGAGTTGATCGCCTTTAACGCTGCTTGACTATCAGATAAGATGGCTATTTCTTGTTTCCGATAGTTCCTATCTAAGATAAGTTGTACGCATCTCTCGATAGCGTAGATTTCTGCCTGTAGGATACTAGGGTAAGTGCCCATTGGTTCGGAGTAATTAGCTCTCGGCGCAAACACTCCGATCCCTGTTCCCGTATTGGTTTTGGAAGCATCAGTATACCAAGTTATGGTATGGTCTTTTAACTGCTGGGCAAGCGTTTCGCTCTTCCAATCCTTCTTATTGCTCAATACTACATTGACATGTTTGTCAAAGTTGTACGTTCTTGGCATATCGTCCATTGGGAGTTGCAGAAGTGGTATTTCCTTTTTGAGGGTGTTCCAAGCCCCTGATCTGACAATTCTCCCAGTACTAATTCCGTTAGTGACCATTCTAATCATTGTCGCATTGGCATATATATATGGCATATATCATTGTCGCATTGGCATATAATGTGAGGTATACAGTGTTTGATATAAAAATTCATAACATTTTATAGAAACTTTAAATATGTAATAAAAAAATGGGAGTACCTAATTAAAATCAAAAAGTTCCTGTCAACTTCCGGTATTTCTGGAAGTGCCGCCATATTTAAAATATTTTTAATCGAAAGATATCATTGTAAAACAATGATGTGCAAAAAATCTCCGATCTAGATATTGTAGTTCTATAGAAACTTCTAATTCACGCTCAGCCTAGGACACCCTGTATACCTAGATATATCAAAATATATCATAATTTTTTTTTGCAAAACGTTCATTTTGGAGAAAAATAAACGCATTTATTATAATTATTAATAAAGAAAAGTGATTAAAAAAAATTTAATAAAGAAACCGATAAATACAATTGTGTATTAGTAGAAATGGCATAAAATTTTCGCACGTTCAAACCAAACAATATAACGAAGAACAATTTTTAATAACCACCATTTGCATATTTTCTCTTTGCCTTAGAATGCATCGTTTCCGTCAACGATCTTTTGTTTGGTAGAATCGGCCGGTAACATAATTTTTCTTGGTAGATTGTTTTTTCTTGCATTATCCGACGTAAGAATAATTTAATGTTGTTATTGTTCTGCCTTCAAGTAGATACTACGGATGGGATATGTGAAATGATATTTATTATTATTCGGCAATCTTCTGGGAAAATACAACTAATACAGACAGAAATCAAATATTTCTTCTTTTACGTAAAGAAACCGCTACATTAAGGCAAACACACCTAGCTAAAAATCCTTTAGTTAGAAAGCTACACTATCGTAAGATGTGTACAACTTATCTTAGAGAGAAACTATCTTCTTCTTCTTAAAGTGCCTGTCCTCTTTAGATATTGGCTATCACATTGGTCCATATTACTTTGTTCACTGCCGTTCTGAACAAAGCTGTTGACGTCAATCCGGTCCATGTTCGTAGATTTCGCAGCCACGATATCCGTCTGCATCCCGCTGATCTTCTGCCTTCTATTTTCCCCTACAGTATGAGTATGAGAGAACTATCGGAAATAGTAAATAGCCATCTTATCCGGTAGTCAAGCAGCCTTAAATACGATCAACTCAATAACCCTCAAATCGAAGTTGGTCAAAGAACGCCTAGGGAATCTAAACAAAACATGCAAAGAAAATAAAGTCCTCCTATTCTGAGTGTCGGTCCACCAAGCAAACGATCTAGCTAGAAAAGGAGCGAACACTCCACTAACTGGACCAGAACCGTTCTGCTTCCAAAGTGGAAACCATTTTTTTATAGATGGGCAACGCCTTTAGGGCCAGCGTGTGGGGATCTCCCTCATGCGAGAGGGTCTACCCACTAAAAACCCATCTGTGCTTTAAGCACGCCAATCTCGGTACCGCCAAAGGCATTTCATCAAGATTAGAGACTTATCATTCTTCTATGTTGGTCTTGTCTGTACCCAGATCTTGTCTTCTTCGTCCTTCGCCTTTTTCTTCATAATGTTCCTTAACATGCTGCAAATCGCTTCGATATTTTCATTCGATAATGTTAGAAGGTTTCCGACTTTTACTCTAGTAATCTTCGTACAACATACTGTTTCTGCGTTTTTCCGTATATCTTCGTGCGTGTGACACTCAAATAGTGTATGGTTAGCCGAGTCTGACGCCTCGCAATACCTGCATGTAGGAAAGTCAGTCTTGCGGATCCTGTGCAAATTCTCGCCAAATACTCCATGGCCAGTCATGGCTTGCGTGATGTACTAGTCCGTGTTTGCTTGGTCGCATTTTATCCAATCTTTAATATTGGGTATGAAACTCTTTGTCCATCCGCTATATGCTTCCCATCGTGTCTGCCACTGCTCTAGTACTATGTTTTTGGTCTCTTTCCGGAAGGAAGTTCCATTTTTATATATTTGGTTTCTTTCCTGGATCAGTATACTGATCGGAGGTGCCTCAGCAAGGCGCAGTACCGCTATTGTTGAACATGTACAGTATGCCTATGCAACCCAGAGTGCTAACTTCCTATTTATCCTTTTTAGCATGTTTTCGTAATGCTTGAAGCGCATGGATCTGTCCCAGATCGGTGATGCGTAGAGTATGGTCGAATGAACTACCGAAGCGAGAAGTCTTCTTTTTTCCGCGCGAGGTCCTCCGATATTGAGAGTTATTCTCGTCAGATGCTGGATGATGCCAGTCTTTTGATCCCTGATTTCTGTTACGTGTGAGGTCATTCGCATGCCAGAGTCGAACCAAACCCCCATGTATTTAACCTTCTTTTGAGGTTTTATAACAAAATTATCCAGCTTTATGCTTAGATCCTTTGCCTTGCGTTGTCCAACGAGAATGACCAACTCAGTTTTTTCTGGGGCCAGCTTGACGCCCATGTTTTCCAACTTATTTTTAATCGCTAGTGCAGCCGTCTGAATCTTTTCTTCAAGGATCGTGTAGGTGGATGCAGTTATTAAGAGGGCTAGATCGTCCGCATAAGCTAAGATCGTGTTGTCCATACCAAGTATCTGATCGTAAAATATATTCCAGAGGGTGGGTCCGAGGATCGAACCTTGAGGGACTCCGCACGTCATTCTGTGTTTCCCACCGTACTCTGTGATGACATATCTATATGACAGGAACCACTGTACCATGCGTACAAAGTATGGGCTAATTCCTTTCTGCTCTAGTTGAGTTGCAATGCCCAGCAATGGAGCCGAATTGAAAGCGTTCCTTATATCAAGGACGAGTAATGCCAAAAATCCTCTATGTCGGTAACTCTTGGTTTTAATTCGATCTACTTCGTTGACCACCATGTTTAATGCGTCAATGGTGGACTTCCCTTTTCTAAAGCCAAATTGATTAGGGTGAAGTTTGTTGCCTTCTTCTAGGTCTGATTCCAGTCTAAAACACACATATTGTAGACACGACACGCACTATACCTCATATCTTAACTAACAGTGGCGCAACTAGACCCTGACTTTTAGGGAGAATCAGTTCACTTAAAAGAAAATATTAATTTGAGATTAAAACGAATTTTAAACAACTTGCACCAATCATCAGGGGGGCTAATTTGGTGGTTGGGAAGGAACTAAACACCCCCTAAACCCCCTCTAGTTGCGCCACTGTTAACTAAGTAGGTACACGCATATTTGTTATTTAGTTTGAAAAGGTCCGTATACTTTTCGAAGCGATCGTTTAAAAAAATTATAAATTTTAGTAAAGTAAGTTTAGCTTCAACAATTTTAAAAGAAAGAAATTTTCCAAAATACACATTCTTCCGATTGGAAAATTAGGGGATTCAGATAAAATTAAATTCGGATCTCTGTGTATTTGCTTTTTCCATGTATGTAAAACTAGAATAGAATCTAATATTACAAGTCACACAAAACCACGGGTACCATATCAAAATATAGATTTAATCTTTTCTTTAAAGGTATTGAAGAAAATTAAACTAAAACTACCTATCTAATATTATACTAAAACTATTTAAATATTTACTAGATAAATTTTTGATTCCCAAATGGAATATTATCAGTTATTTATTCCTCTACCACGAGAAACGAGTGCTACTGTTCAAAATATATGATATGGAAGGTATAGTGAGAATCAACCTTTAGCCATTTACTTATTTAAATGTCAAATTTTACACATACCCTAGGGCAACAATTTAAATTCCTACCCAAGGGTTGTAAGACATATAATAACTTAGAGGTCGGTGGTGTAGCGGACAAAGGTGTTGCAAATGAGGGCGATAAGGTTGTTAAGATAGAAGATAAGAACAAAGGCTTGCTTATTGCCTATGTGTAACGGATGCGATAAAATCAACACGTACAAATGCGATGGAAAAGTTTTGTTAAATTTGCTACCGCTATACTTTTTCATACAAAGCCAAGCTGGATTTATCATGCTCAGATTAATTCATGGTCAGCCAGAATATTGCTCAGCTCAACATAAAGCCAGTCGATTGCAAAGATTATAAACTAATTCATTTTTTTTTTATTTATACAGGGTGAGTTTTCTACGATGTTCTCTATGGGTATCTCGGAAACTACTGGAGACAGAGAGTCGGTTAAATGGGGAAAGAATTGCTTTTTTGTGGGGTCATAAATATGCGCTTTTCAGATTTTTGAAAAAGTTCATGGCTAGATATTTCGAAAAAAACAAATTTCGGCTATTTTAAAAATCGTCCCTAATTCCATTATAAGCTATTTTAGACAAAAAGTTTTCAGATAAAAGTTGTAGATAATTACATCCTTAATGAGACTGTGTCCTCCGTTTTTTTCTAAAGCCTGTCATTTTTGACATATGACACAAACACATACTAAACGGAAACCATAGTTGGCCATTACTTCATAAACAGCGCCATTTTTTAAGCTTTTCAGCGATATAAGCTAAAATATGATTTTTTCGAAAAAGTTAGCAAAGAAAAAGTTTCGAAAAGAGTTATATCCAATTCTTATCATTTTTAAACAATTTCACTTAGTTAGCCATGGAAACAAGTTCAATCGCCGTTGCTCTCAGAAATGTGAAGCTGAAACATCCAAACTTTGTAAATTAAAATAAACAAAAATTGTAAATATGAATTTCTCAAATGAAGAAATGGGGAAAAGCGTGTAGATACTCGCGCATCAATAGAGTGGTTCCAACATGACTTTCATTATGTGGTGGGGGGCATAATAAAAGAAATGTTAAAAATTATTTATATCATAATTATGCGAACTCAGGGATAGGAAGAGGTGGACCAATTGCATGGGCCTCCTCGATCACCTGATCTATTCATTTTATATTTTTTTATGCGGTATGGTTAACAATAAGGTTTACAAAAAAATTATGAATTAAGAGAGGCACTCGAAGTGGCGGTACGAGAGAAGTTTATCAAGTCGACCGCTCCTTCTGTGAGAATAGGTACCTAGTAATTTAGTTTTAAAAAGATGTAACTCAAAATAATGGCGGATTTTTTGAACATTTTCTAAAATAACTTAAAGTGTATGTAGTGATATTATTTTTTTAAGTTTTAGTTTATGTAATGTAAATTGTAAAGAACCGTTTAATAATATATTCTGTTTTTATTTTTATAAACCATAACAGAATAAGAATACCATGCAATCTAAGTGAAATTAGTCAAGAAAGATAAGAATTGGCTAGGTATAACTAAATTTAACTTTTCTAACATGTCTTGAAAATCGTTCTCTAAAAAACGTAACATTCACCGGTCAACGTATCCTCGAAAATGTATTGTCAAGAAAAGTTGAATCGATAATCCTACACGCTTTTCTTCTTTTAAAAAATTCATATTTACAATTTTTGTTTATTTTAATTGGATGTGACTGCTTCACATTTCTGAGAGCAAAGACGATTAAACTTCTTTCCATGGCTAACTAAGTGAAATTGTTTAAAATTTATAAAAATTGGCTATAACCCAGTAATTTTTCTAAGAAGACATATTATAATAGGTTATATCGCTAAAAAGCTTAAAAAATGGCGCTTTTTATGAAGTCATGGCCAACTAGGGTTTCCATTTAAAAAAACATATGTTTGTGTCATATGTCAAAAATGACAGGCTTTAGAAAAAACGAAGGACACAATCTCATTAAGGATGTGATTATCTACAACTTTTATCTGAAAACGTTTTGTCTAAAATAGATTATAATGGAATTAGGGACAATTTTCAAAATAGCCGAAATTTGTTTTTTTCAATTCTTTACCCTTTTAACCGACTCTCTATCTCCAGTAGTTTCCGAGATACCCATAGAGAACATCGTAGGAAACTCACCCTGTATATTAATATTAATAGCGGACATTTTTGCCCATCCGATGATATAATAATAAAAAATTACAATTTCAAAGCGTTATTGTTAATCTTGTGCCCATTAGTCGATGCATCAAATAACATTTTTAATTGTTATCTAATGCCATGCTTTTTATATTATCAAAAAAAAGATGTTTACTTGGCTTGGAAATGTAAATCATTGACATTTCCTTATCATTTTACATATGAAATAACAGCGATCTTAATTTCCAAACCAACTCTGACGCCGTTCTTCAATGGCAGAAAGTCCAATATTATTTGAAAAGAATCAGTAATCTACTAAAGTAATCCGTTCTGGCAACAGAGCAACACTATATCAGTTCTAAACTAGTGTGGGAATGTGTGCATTTTCTAAACACTCTAAACAAATTGGGGGAGCGTAGCAATTTTAGACTGGGTACCGGGGCACGATAGCCACAAGGGTACCGAAAAGACAGAGGAAATGACCAAACAAGGCTTATCAATGCGAAAACAGTGGGTGTAGAACATTCGCCAAAATTCACGGAAAACCTGATAAAGCAAAGACAGAAAGATGTCAAAGCTGTAGTGGGTGGGTCTACTTAGAGGGTATTGTAAGCTGAATAGGCATCTAAAGCTGATTGACAAAAGAGGCCATGCAGACTTTGTCAATTTGAAGAGGCACCGCATATTATGTCATTGCGACTGCCTGGCAAATATGCGATTCCCTGTACTAGACAATGATAGGGCATTAACAAAGAGCTATATGGAGGGTTCAGTCTCTAAGTTGCTAAACTTTTTGAAAATGATAAGACTACTGAGAATGTAACCTAAAGATCAGAAGAGAACTACAATAGATGTAAAAAGGCCGCAGTGGAACAAGACGATACCCACTTCAAGAAATATAATCTAACAAGTTAAATTTCTTTTGAGTCTTAATCCAACTCAAAGTTTTCTGTAAAACTTTATTATAAAAAAAATATACAACTATATTTTACTGTATACAAGTAGGTACCCATCTGTCGCGAATAAACATAAACCGTACCAATAATGTAACAATAATTTACTCTCTGAATTCCACATCTGGAGTGGTGGTACCCCGCGTCAAATAAATAACGCCCGACCGGCCGAGAAAGGAGGAAACGGAATCACGTAATTCGTGTACGGCTAGCGGTACCGCGACCAGCCCGATGACTATTTTGAGTACCCGTTTCCTCGCAGAGGTCATTACCATTCAAGGCCAAACCGCGTACGACCGAGTGCTACGTATCTCCTTCACTAGGTTACTGTGTAATTTGAATACGGATTGGCGTTAGAGCACAGCTCGAGATTGGTAGTAGAAAGAGTTAGCGTTGATTTTCATATAATTCTGTAGAAAATATATAGGTTTTACAAAATGGATTCCAAGTAGATTTGTTTTTTTTATAGAAACACAAAAAATGTTCATTAAAAGATCATTAGGAATTAGGACTGGTTACAACGATCAAATATGTGTCTGTCAAAAAAGAAAATTCACCTAGATAGCTAAAAAAATTAGTAAAAATTAAACAAGAAAGAACTATTTCAAATGCAGTTTTTCAAAATTCGGTCAAACTTTAGTCAATAATACAAAGAAACGAAAGCAAGAGAGAAAACAACCCCAGAATTCTCTGAATGGCAAAGAAGTACAACAGGGAGATGCAATATTCCCAAAGCTGTTTATAGCAACACTAGAAGAAATCATCCGTCAACTAGACTGGACCAACAATGGATTGAAAATACACACATCGGAAAAATCTAGGGATATCATTTTATTAAAGTTAAAAATAAATGTTTTGAATAAAGAACCATATATTTTTAGACCGATTCTTTCTACTTCGATTGAAACGAATTAGTCACACTAGTTATTTCTAAATTTGGGATATTTACAGAAGTGTTTGTGCATTTTTTTGTCAAATGTATAAAAAGCACCTAGCATCAGTTGTTCGAATTTAACCTGTACTGGCTATGTTTTTATGATAACTGGCCAGAATTCATTCAAATAACTCTGTTTAGTATTAAACGACATTATGGAGCGTAGACATCTTAACAGAGACGAAATGCTATGGGCCATGGGTATGCTTGAAGCTGGAATGCGCCAAATCGACGTAGCTAGAGCATTACATACAACGCAAAGTGTAATATCTCGATTAAGTGCACGCTACCGTGAAAGTGGTGATGTTGCTGAAAGGCACACAGGGCGACATCGCATTACTACCCCTCAGCAAGATCATTTTTTACAATTAAATGCTCGACGCCGACCGACTCTTACAGCACCAGAGCTTAGTTTAATTCTCCAGAAAACACATAATGTAAATGTAACCGTTAGTCCTGACACTGTTCGCAATAGATTAAGAGTGGTCAACTTAAGAAGCAGACGCCCTTGGAGAGCTCAACCCTTAACGAGAGGAAATCGAGAGGTACGATATTTGTGGGCTCAAGATCATGTTCAGTGGTCGAATGAACAATGGGCCAATGTTCTCTTCACGGATAAGTCACGCTTTGGAATTCATCCGGATTCGAGAAGGCATAAGGTATGGAGAGAACCGGGAAATCTTATTCGGTTGGATCATGTTCAGGAAGTGTACCCTTATCAAGGTGGTACAGTTATGGTCTGGGAAGGAGTCCAGTTAGGCCGAAAAACCGATCTCGTTTTTCTTGAAAGATTTCTAACAAGAATCACATATCGTGATTTAATTCTTGAGCCTGTCGTGTTACCATATGCCAATGATTTTAGGAGAAACTTCTTATTCTCATGTATGACAATGCACGGCCTCATATAGCCAGAGTGGTAAGTGAGTTTATCAATGCTGATCAATTAAACATCTTACCCTGGCCGGCACAATCTCCTGACCTCAACCCCATCGAGCACGTATGGGACGCGGTCCAAAGAAGAATTTTGAGAATGGGTATGCCTCGTGAAACTCGTAGGGATCTGGTTCGGGCCGTGAATGCAGCGTGGCAGGCTGTACCTCAAGAAGAGATCGACAACCTGATCAGGAGCATGGAGAGACGATGTGGGGCTGTAATGAACAGTAGAGAAGACCATACCCTTTTGTAAGTAAAAATGGTTTTATCTTTTTTTTTTAATTCACAGTTTAGAATTAAAAAAAATGTGTGTATTTTTTTGAGTTCAATAAAAATCAAGGTACATTTGAAAAATTCGGTAAAATTCGCATTTTTATTTCCAATCCGTCCTGTAAACTATATATTTGTTTATTTTAATTTTATTATATCAGAAATGCAAATAATAAAATTACTGACAATTGCTGGATAAAATTGTAATATCCCTAGACTTTTCCGGTGTGTGTAGATGGAGAATATCTTAACAGTCTAAAATTCGCTGATGACATAGTCGTAATTGCCAATAGTCCTGAAGAACTACATGCACCAATTAATGAACTAAATGACTAGCAATACATGCAGCAATAAAGTAGGTTTACTTACTTAAAACGGGCATCATAAGGAAACTGCGGGTCGCGCAACGCTCAATGGAATGAAATATGCTGGGAATAACCACGAGAGACAGTAAAAGAACTGTGGATACGACAAAAGACCCATGTATTAGATGTCATCCACAGACTCAAATCCTTCAAGTGGCAATAGACAGGATACCAGGCAAGAAAGACGGAAAAGAGATGGACCACAAAAATGATGGTACCCACGAGAAATTAAGAGACCTAGAGGAAGGCCAAACCTGAGATAGGACCATGGATATTAGCAGGGATTACTTACTTTAACTTATTGATCCCGCATTACCAACAACACATAGACAACAGTGGGCCTAACTACAAAGAGGGTATATGTGAGAGGGGCTACCCCATAATTAGAAATGGTTGAATCAGCTGGATATAATGTTGATGATGATGGTGATAGAGGTAGAAAGCTTCGACGACGCGCATCCAAAAATATTCTTATGCCACCGTGGTCGCCATGTTTGGGCATAGGTCTACAGGGTAATCACAAAGTAATGAAATCAACTTCTAATTTGTCTAAGTTTAATTTCGTCTTTGGTTCTATTGTTATTCCAAATTCCTAGGTTTTACGAGATTAGATTTAAATTTAACGAAATTTACCAAATTATTTTTAAAATTTGGATAAAATTAAGGACCTCTTTGAAGAGAAAACCTCTTTGAAGGTTTCTTAAATGGGGCTTGAATATGGGGCTCAAATGTATAAATTTCTCAAATGGGCTTTGAATGGGGCTCTTTGAAGAGAAAAATAGCATAAATCTTTATAAAATTTATCGATAACGAAAATGTTTCTTCCGCTTACATTTTGGACAAAATTGAAAATACTTCAAAGGCTGTTTAAACAGAAAAAATAATATTTCCCTAATTAACTCCCACTGAACTAACTCAGAACTTTTGGGAAAAGACCAAGGGCAAACTTGCCTTGGGTAAATTACTCAACCGTATTCCAGACTGAAATTTTTACCATTCTACAGGGTGGGGCCTCTCATACGCCGCGGAAGCTCCAAGAAGAACGGTAGTTTATATCGAAATGAAATGTTGGCGGCATATGTAGGTTAACTGAAAGCGTTTTATAAAAGTTTAAAACATATTTTAATTATTACAGAATTAAAACTAGATATAAATCTATAATGATGTGACAAAAATTAGCTAGATGAAATCAAATACTCAAAATGCTTCCTTTCCTAATAACTACATAAAATTTTAAAAGGCATATGTGGAGTTCTACCTCGAAAAGCAGCTACAATAATTTCTCTCATGTTGCCGACAATAGTTGGTCGAGTTTTGTAAACACTGTCTTTAACATATCCCCATAAAAAAATCCAGACTAGATAAAAGCAGGAACATTTCAGTATTCAGCTGGTGAACGCACAATGCATTCACCAACTAATAGAATCATATCAATTATTCTTCCTGATGTAGGATAAGTTTGCATTTTCGGCATATTTCTGAGATTTTTTTTTCTCTTTTAACTGACACAAAATGATAACTAGTTGTTAAAGTTGGACTAATTAGACAGCTATGTTAAAGTAACGTCAGACATATCACAGCCACCCAAGATTTTATGAAATAATAAAAATATACACAGATCAAATCATGTAAATGAAAATATCTAGGAAAATCTTGGTTTGAGGGTTCGGCAACCTTAATAGTATCTTGAAGAGATATGAATTCTCCATTGAATATCGGAATAATATACTGGGTGTTCCATTCAAAATAAACGAGTAACATGCTTTTAAAAATGACCAATGTTCAATATTAATTTTGTTTCACCCTGTATAACCTTTTGGATCAAGTTTTAATTTGATTTAAAGTACAATAGTTAATTTATCTACATATTAGGCTATACCGGGTAAATTCCAATTTTGGTAGCTTTGATTGTATTTTAAAAATTGTTCTTATTTTTAGAAAATGTTAAATATGTCAAAAACCTTACATTTTAGTCATATACTTCTTTTATAAAATTCACCTTTATTCTTCTCCTAGAATCCGAAAATCAATTAATATATAGGGTGTTCCATTACAAAAAAACACAACTTTATTAGTATATTTTTAAAAAGTACTTTGATTTGACCTATATATGCTTACAAAATTTAATTTCAATACAAACTATCGTTCTCCTTGGTGCCTCCGTGGCGTATGAGAGGCGCCACCCTGTGCAATGCGCTGGAGAAAACAACAGAAGAGCTTATTCAATATGAAGCTAATCAATCGGCGGTACTTAAGGCGCTCATGAACCCAAAGGTATTGTCGAGACTCTTCTGGAAATGCCTGGATAAACTTGACACTCTGACGGAAAGAAATAGAACTAAATTATTCTGGATACTGGATTATAGCGGCATCCAAGGCAACGGAAAAGCCGACGATCTAGCAAGGCATTGATCATAGGTATCTTATCTTGGTCCAGAACCAGTACTGGGGATACCAAAATGTATGACACTTAGTTCAGTAAAACTCTGGATCAGCGAAAATGACACGACCACCCACTATACATACACTAGAGATAAAAAACAACGCTTTATTGTACAAAAAGCCAAAACAGCTTCATCGACAAAGCATTTACAAAACAAAAAAGCACAAAAACAAATATACAAATAATAAAAAAAATGTCATACA